AGATATATTTTAAAAACTATATTTTGCTGTTGGCTAAATAATTTCAAGTGTTATTATGGTATAAGTAGTTGACTATTTTGATCTATATCCTCATTAGAAATTACCCATATAGTGAGGAAAGTGAATATGTGATCAAAATTATACTTAATATTGATTTTTATATGATACATGAAAAATATGTACATATGTATGTATATAGCTTATATAATATAGCACCAGTATATACCTACTAACTTTAGTAAATAATAATATAATAATTACAAGTAAATATTTAATTATAGTTTCAATTCGAATCATTTTATAAATTTGAAATTTTACTAAAAATATAACAATTCCATATATTAATATTAAAAATTAATTTTAATTGAATAGAATTTTTCTTGAACAGGAAACTCTATGTAGCGCTACCTACCTGTTCTCTGCCTGCTATAAACTTGTGCTATAAATCCATGTCATAAAGCCAGCCATAAAGCAAGAGATATATACCTAGAAGTTAAGACTAGGAGGATTCATTCAAATCTAGAGATTTATCAATAAAGCAAAGATTTGCGGGGCACGGGAGCAAAATGGTTTGATCCATCCAAACATGGAATCCTTGGCCTGAGTGAAAATCTCGTTCACAGGCCACACACTCGATGCATATCAAATCGAGTTGGAAAGCAGGCAGAGAGAGAGAGAGAGAGAGAGAGAGAGAGAGAGAGAAGTAGATAGAGAAGCGGCCCACACACTAGCGATCGATCATGTGCATTGTACGGCCATGAAATCGTCGTCGGACTCGAAACTCGGACACAATGCAAACGAAGTGCGAGTTTGAGGCCGGAGCGCGACAAATGCAAAAGCGAATTGTGCAGAATGTTCAGAATGCCTTATCAACGGTCCGAAAGTGTCCTGCTGTTGACAGGACAGTTGTCAGTTGGCAGTTGCCAGGACTGTTGACAGGCCCTATGCACATTACGATCAATTATGAGCCTCAATGCACTCCAGGGGCGTAGCGAATCAAGGGGGCCCGAGCCCGAGTCCGAGTCCAGCAAACTTTCCCCCTGGCCGCATCTTGTGGCGTTAATTCAAAATTACATGGACATTGTTTTGCGGCAGCTACGTGGAATTTCGCCAATGTCTTTGCTATTTCTTTCGTTTTCCTGTAATGCGCCAGGCGTGGCAGGATGAGCGTGAAGCTTGCCTAAGTGTGGTCTGGCAATGAAACCATAATGTCAACCAACAGGCGGCCACACCATGGCCTTCCAGCGTCTTCCATCGTCTTCCAGCGTCCAAGCGCTGATCACCAATCATCAACTGTGACACGACTGAGTGACTCCGCAGTGCGCAACCAAAAGTCGATTCCACAGCCTAACCAACCATGCAGAACCCTCTACTTTTTCACGCATTTGCTTTTTTCGAATAGGTATAGCTTAGCTGCTGATTATGGAAATTAAATTGATTTTCAAGCGTTTTCATAGTGAGGCATGTGAAACACTTTAGGACTCCTAACTGTGCTAATCATTTCGACAGGCTTTCAAGGAATTCTAGGGTTTGAGTGCAAGGTTAGCTATGATTAGAAAGTTATCTATGTGATTAAAAAACTTTAACTGTGCTTACTACACTATATAGACTGCGTAAATATAGTATATATGACTGATAGTTTTATAGTATATAATATTGTATGAATGAATTATATAAATTTATTTTCTAATTAAATTTGAGAAAAATTAAGATACACAAATAAATGAGTTTAATAATTAATTTAATAAAACTTTA